ATGTGTATAAGAGACAGGCGTGTGCGTGTGCGTGTGTGTGTGTGTGTATACGATATGTATCGTATTTTTATATTTATAAGCAAGCAGGAAAATAAAGATATCAATATATTGTTTGCATCTATATATTTTACAATCTATTGTAATATTTAAATCTATTGTAATTGTTACAATCTATTGTAATATTTAAATTTATTGTAATTTTACAAATCTTTAATAAGAGTAGATTTATGAATACGGATTTTTGGATATTGAGTTCTATAATGTGACGATATGAAAAAGGATTTGTTTTTTCTCCTCATTTCTCGACAAAATTTGATTAAAATCCTGCATGAGCTTAACTCCTCGTTCTGCTGCGTCATGTACGACTTTAAACGTTTTCACAATTTCCATATCAATTTCATGTCAATTTCATTGAACAGGCTGCAATTACTTTTTAGTAAATTTAGGAGAAAAATGTCTATTCGTCGATAGTTTTGAATTATAAAGTTTTCATGCACTAAATTTCAAAAATATAAATAATAAATCTATACTAAAATAAAATTTTAAAGAATTTTAAATTGAGTTAATTGCATAATTCTCTCAGGTATTTTTCTCTTTTTCTTTCTTTCTCTGAAGCACATTAAGGAAATATTGTTATTTAATATTTGCAAAAAATAAACTTGATATTTACAAAGTGTTCTGAGAATTAACTTAAAAACTTCAAATTAGATGTGCCACGTTGTCCGATCAAGCTCAACTTTTACACAATTTTTTTTCAAATGGAACTACTTTAGGGGGCGTAAAAAAAATTCAAAAGTTAAAAATAAGGTAAACCCTAATATATATATTTATTAAAATGGTAAAACAATTCAACTAGAAAGAGAGAAAGAGAGAGAGAGAGAAATCGAACATTAGAGCATTAAAGATTCATTTGATATAGTAAATAAATCAATTATAAATAATTGTCAGAATAATGATAGATATTATGATGGCGTTTAACGCTATAGAAAGTGATTCTAATAATTCCATGACAAATCGTATGTTATTGTTAACTTCATTAAAAAGGTAAAGCAATAAAAATAAAATATATTGTTAGTTAGTAAGTATTAATTGAATAATACTAAAGAAATTTTTAAGATACCTGTATGTATCTTCTTACTGTATCTTCTACCTGTATCTTCTTACTAAAAGAACGATTGACGGAACGAACTCTTGCACTGACAATGAAACTCGCGGCAATATGACATTGGCTGCGTTCAGCAAAGAAAACAGTCAGTGAATGCTTAATAATTCTTTATTATGATATTCATTATTATGATATTATTATTAGCTAATTCTGCATTTAGATCTAGCGAAGATCTAAATGCAAGAACCAATCATATTTAAGAATCACTAAGCGCTCACGATCTAATTTCTCTGCAGAATGCAAATGATTAACAATGTCTGCAGTTATATAATAACACTGCAGTATAATAACACTTTTTTTCCGTTGCTTACATCAGTAAGTATAATTATTTTAATCAATTTTTTATCCTTTTTAAGAAAATTTTATTATTACAAACTTCGAACTTCGGACTACGAACTTCGGACTACTGATATGCGATTTATCTAATTGATGTTTTTATCATTTTAATAAATGTCACTATTACTGTATGTAAAAATTAATATCTTTTACTGCGAGGAATTATGAAAAATAGAGAAAATCAAATAATGACTTGGTAAAATTGTTATAAATGATGTACATGTATAAATACTACAAATCCTTGTACAGTCAAAGCTCGATAACTTGAATCTCTACAACTCGAAAGCTTCTATAGGACGAAAATTTTATTCATTCCCTTACATTCGCTCCGCTGCAACTGCGGAAAACCTCTATAAATCGAAATAAAACCTATCTTAACTCAAATTATTTTTCAGATATTTAAATGTATTATTTTACCTCTGCAACTCGAATTTAATGTAATCAAACTTCTACAAGTGGAAGTTCACCTCTATAAGTCGAATTTCTATTGTCGCTGTCTTTATAATTCGAAGTTATAGCTATATGTATAATCATGAGTAATAGCCTGGTATATGTTTTATGATTACATTTATTATCTGTATGCAATAAATTCGCTGTCAAATATTGATTTTTTTTTCCTT